TCATAGGACCCAATGTCATTGCCTGTCAAAGCTTTGTATGTTACACCAAGAGTTCAAATTGGGGTTAATAATTTTTGTACTACTTTTTTTTTATCGCAACTGTACCGGGTGTTTTTTTATCTTCGATATCGTTTTGATCACCTGTAACTTTTTTGTTTTTGAAGATATCAAGGTAAACAAAAAAAAAACAAAATGTAGGGTTAGTAGCCAACTAAGCCAAAACTACACATAAAACACTATCAATTTTTTGACATCTACGACTACATTATATTTTTTTTAAATGGAACGCCCTGTATATTATATATGTGTTCGATAGAATATCTTATTCTGATAACAATGATATAACACACTTCATATTTTGGTCCACTCGTTTTTGACAAATCGGCAAAAATATAAAACTTTTGAACTGAAACTTATTATGCTGGGGTCTGATATTTGGGACGAGAATTATTGAGAGTGTATATGAAAATTTCATATATTTTTGCGGATTTGTCAAAAACGAGTGGACTAAAATATGAAGTGTGTTATATCATTGCGATCAGAATAAGATATTATATCGAACACATATATAATATACAGGGTGTTCCATTTTAAAATTTGAAAAATATATTGTAGACTTGTATGTCAAAATATTGATAGTGTTTTGTTTCATGTGTAACTTAAAAAAAAAACTTGGCAACTAATCCTACATTTTGTTTTTTGTTTACCTTGATATCTTCAAAAACAAAAAATTTACAGGTGATCAAAATGATATCAAAGATGAAAAAACACCCGGTACATATTATTTAATTTTGTTATCTAAGTATTTCGTGAAATGTTTGTCGTCCGTAATAACATAGATACTTGAATCAGGTAATTGTTGGAAGATATTTAATATAAACAAATGTGGGTAAATCGAATTTCAAACTTTAAAATTTGGAAACTATTATAAACACTAAACCGTTATAGTATATTGTGTATTTAGCCTTCGGTGTTTGCCGGCCTCGGCTACGCCTTGCCCGTCAACTTACACCGTCGGCCGAGAATGTGTCACTTTTCCACCGAAATACACATACAATTTTTTCTGCGATCGGTTAAATACCTGTTGAATGTTTGTCTTTTAGTTCCAATTATTCAGCAATACGAGAATCACTTTCCCGGCCTAGGCCGGAAAAGTGTTTCCGGTATTGTTATTCATTGATTCCTTAGCAACTATTGAAACATAATCGAAATACCAGAATATTGAGTTTTGCGACCTGTCAACCGGTCAAAAATGCTGACATTTCTTGTCAATCGCAGAAAAAGATATTTTCAGAAAGGAAGGGTTAAAGTCTAAAGATTATTAAAATTTAGAAGAATAAGAAAATCACAAAAAATCGAAACTATGAGGAACTTTAGGGAAGAAATCGACAGAAATATCCAGAAAGTCTTAAGAGATCATAATACTAAATTGAAAAACAACACCAAGCTAGTGATATGTTAGCAACCGAAATTAATAACTGTTGTTCAAGATATCTACAAAAATCTGTAAACACTAGTGATCAGTAAGAACGCCTCTGTTTATTTGATTGGATCCTGGACATAACAAAGTGGACTTTTCTCAACCTCTACGGACTGAATTTTGTCAACACAGCTATTTATAGTCTGGCAAGGGGCAACTTGATAGAGACGAAAGGGGGAAGAAAAGTGGGGCGTAACCTAAGAATATTCACTGACTCCTCAACTGACACCGCCTGATAACAACCATGTCTTTGGGTTCAGTGGCACCGAAAACACAAAGGAAATAATCCAATAAAATTATTAGAAAAAAAAAATTAGTTTCGCCAATAACCACGCCACTGTGCTGTCGTTCAGGCTCTAACCAATAGAATCGTGCCTCTGAATAATCACGCCTCTCCACATCCTTTATTTCGCAGATTTTTTTCAATACTAAAGCTTGTTTTTTTTTAAAGATAAAAGTCAAAATGACATTATGTTGGCAATACAATGTAAAATTGTCAATGCTTTCAAATTTTTCATGTAGAAAAGGCTTGTGTTGCCAACATAGTTACTAAATTTTGGACTTAGGGAATTATCTTTAAAAAAAAACACTTTACAAATGCTCATACAGGGTGATCTATCATAAATGTCATCCCCTTCTAACTTTTTCATTTGACATTTTTGACAAAAGTGTCAAATGCAAAAGTTTCAATAAATTGTCGAAAGTTTTTAACTAAGTTGATTTTAGGCATACAGGGTGCGTCAAAAAAGTGCAGCAGTGTGAAGTTTCATTTTTTTAAATGGAACACCCTCTATATTGTGCGCTTATTTGTTAGTCCCTTTTAACCTGATTTCAACGATATACGATTTGATATGTCTATCTTCAATAGCTATAGGGACAAACATGAAAACCCCTTTCAAGGTTTCACATTGAAAAAAAAAAAATTATAAAATTTAGGCTTTAGAGAATTTTTTTTATAAACAGTTTAGACTGGAAGACACAATAACAAATACAAGCTACAAGTGACAAGAGACAAAAATATAATAACACGTGTATCAATGCTATAATAACACAGAATAAATGGATACAAAATACAAGTTACTTGCCACGCCAAGATACAAAATTTAGATTTTTTGGTATTTTGTCTTCTTCACATATCTGTCACCTACCTTGTATTTGTCATTGTGTCTCCAACCTTATTGTTCAAATTTCATTCATTAATTTACAAGGTGAAATATTATAATAAATACAGAAGTCTAAGTTATTATTAGTATTTTTAAAAATATATCATGAGAGACTTAGGAAGGGATTTTCGCGTTTTTCCCTATTACTATTGTGGATAAACCGAGAGATAAACATATCAAACCACATATCGTTGAAATCAGGTTAAACGGGACTAACAATTAAGCGCACAATGTACAGGGTGTTTCATTTAAAAAAATATAACTTCACACTGCTGTACCTTTTTGACGCACCCTGTAGGTATGCCTAAAACTGACTTATGGTGTTTCCGATTGGTAAATTCAGTGCGCACTGAGTGTATTTGCATCCTTTTAATCGACCTGTAGAAGAACAAGACAGAAATAGAAAAAATTGCACTAGTTCCGCACTAAATCTACCAATCGGAAACGCCATTAGTTTAAAACTTTTGACAATTTCTTAAACTTTTGTATGTGATACTTCTGTCAAAAACGTCAAATGAAAAAGTTAGCAGGGGGTGACATTTATAATAGATCACCCTGTACTCAACCCCAACAGAACAGGTATATATCTACTTACTATTTCAGTTAAAGGTAAAAGTCCATATGCATTATGAATGAACAAGAATCCAAGAATAAAACACCTCAAAATTATTGACTCTGTTGCATATATTCCGGAGCAAACCAGAACAAAAATAGACCGAAAGGCAGTCAAAGGATAGGTACTTTCTTGGTTAGGGTGGGGAAGGAAGATATAGAATTTGGGTTAAAGACGAATATCTACTTTTTTTTCGAGACTTTTGGAAAAGTTGACCGATTGGGAAGAGCTTGTTCTATAAGACAACTTCAAGCCTATTCCAGAAAATCACAAAGAAATTGGAAAAACTCCATCTACATTAACAGAATCAAAAATTGAAGATAAAGTAGATGGATCAGCTTTCAACGATAAAGAAAAAGATCAAAGTCAAGAATCAGCATTTAAATTGGAAATTTCACAGAAATTACAAGATAGTGAATCCAGCATATACCACCCATGATTATGTTTTAATTACAGAAGAAATTATAAACAGTAAAAAAAATGAAGATCAGAAAAAAGCAATGGACTCAGAAATCGATCCTCTAGAAGAAAACAAAACCTTTTACGACATTGTGAAACTACCAGAGAAAGCAAAAGCACTCTTGTAAATGGGTGTACAAGCTTAAAACGAATTCTGATGGTTCCATTGATCGTTACAAAGCAAGGCTAGACATCAAAAACTTTAACCAAAGAAAAGGCATATTGACTATACCGACACATTTAAGTCTTGTAAGAAGACTAGCAATCAATTTTGAGCATTGCTGCAAGCGAAAATATGTTTGTTGAGAAAAAGTTTATTTGGTTCAGAACAAGCACCACGTTATTGGTACACAAGAATCAACACAGTTATTCAAAAATTAGGTTTCAAGGCAAGCGAAGCTGACCAATGCTTGTATGTAAGAGAAAGAAATGACAAAAGGCTACTCATTACTCTCTACGCCGATGATGGCTTGGTTGCTGCTGTTGCCTGTTCATAATTGCAACTCGATATTGAAGCAAATGAAATTAAAATTAGCCAGAAGGCATAAACTAAGAAAATTCTTCCACTTCCAATTTAACTAATGATCAGTCAATACACCAATCGAGAATATTTCTGATATTTCAAAAATAGGGAAAGAAAGTCAGAAACAATTTTTTTCTTACAGAGGGGCAGTAGTTGCTTTTATGTATTCACTGATTGGAATATGACCAGACCTTGCCTTTGCTGTGAGATATCTCTCAAGAACCTTGGAAAATTTCTCCTAATAGGATTTTACAAGACTAAAAAAAAAATCGTTAGATACCTTTCAGGAACAATTTATCTAGGTATCACCCTCATACCAGGACCATCGTTCTTATAATATGCCTAAGTCATAGCGATTTTGGAGGAAGAATTACTTCTTGAACGACTTCACTTTATCCACACCGACGGAATGATCAAGGCACAATCAGACCATCAATCGATACATATCGATGTTTGTGGATGAGCATCATTGAGATTTGAAACGACCCGTGCCTAAAACATTTAATATCTAATATTTTGGTGAAATCAAATCAACTATACACAGTACTATTATCCCACTAATCGACTCGATACATTCCAAATATCAAACCAACACTGCACCAAGGCCGAACGGGTAGGCGAGGACCTTGATTCGCAATTTTGGTAAAACTAACCGAAAAAAAAAGGAGACCTTTCTTTGCCACCTTTCCCCTGCTAAAAAAAAAATCCTTCGCCATCATTATAGTACTGTAGTACTACTCGAGAGAGGTAAAGGCTGAGGAACGCGCTTCTCTGGTTTTCGAATCGCGCTCAGTTGTTTTATGTACCGCGTTGCGCAAACGAGGCACACACAGAGAACGACCGCGGTACGACTTTAGGGACTAACGACCGCGCGTTTTCCGTTTGTTTTTCGCGGGTCAACCGAGCCGGCTTTTGTGTGTTTTTCACTGTTTCCTATTGTGATTCGGAATTTTGACTGTGATTGTTATTTGGATTATGATACCGTGCGTTTAGGATTTTTATTGACACAAATTTTAATAGGAATAGTGACCAAAACTATACAACTTTTTGGTGGATATTTAAAAACTGGATGATATTGAGTGAAAAATTGATGGTGTTAGTGTGTAGCTTTGCAATTGGATTACATATTTTCTTGGATATAATAATTGTACTTATGGCGTTTTCACGGTGAGCAAATAATGTAATTTTTTAAAATATAATCGTAGGCATGTGAAATTCAAGTCTGTTAAAAAATAGGAAGTTTTAATTTTTTTCCTGAGCAACTGGAAACTGATCAAGAATATTCATAATTAGTCAAAAATAGTATAGATGAGGTTTGTTTCAAAAAAATTTTAATGACTTATGATTGATGCAGACAGATAAAAATCTTACCTGTATCCTGCAGATACATAACTGAATTTCCGAACGAAATTAACAAATCTTTGAATAGAAAAATTATGCCAGACCTCAAAAAAATATCTAAAATTCCAAGTATGATTCGCCTTTAACCCTTATTCAAGAACCCACCGACAAACCTCGGAAGAAGTGCACTCTTTTTTTTTAAAATAAAAGTCGAGATAAAAGTTTGCAAACTTTGTGGGAACTTTCAAGTAAATAAAAATAAATTTCTTGTCATGGAGAACTTCTTATTAGAGTGGATAAAAAGTAGGGACTTATTAAATATTAATTAGGGCCACCAATTGAAAATCAGGTGTTCCTTTAGTTTTTGAGAAAATCAAAGTGACTATAGTGAATGGTCTGACTATTTTCTTTAAATGTAATTGACTGCTTATTTGAAATTTACTAGTCGATTCATTCAGAGTGATTTCAGTGAAAATATTTTTGTATAGAAATAGTTAATTATAAACTGAAATACAGATTTTTTTATTATAAGATTACTTACCGAAATCTAACTTAAACCAAATTAGAACGTCTAAAAGCACACATTAAATATTTATTAAACATTAAACTTTCAGTATTCCTAGAGATTAGAGCAAACTGGCTGCTGAGTAGAGTAGAAATAGAGTTTGACAGATTAGCAACTAGTTAAAAACAAGAAGTTCTCATAATCTAAGGAATTTTGGATTAGAAAAATAAACAAAAATTGAGACAAACTAGATTATACTCAAAAACAATTCCCTTTTCGACCTCTGACACAGATCAATGAATGATATCAATTCTTATAAGTCTATTCCTGAAAAGAAAAACAAAAAGGATTTTTTGGAAAGAGATATTCCTAAAAGGATTCCTGATAGTAAACAAATTTGTATGTTGTAGGCAAAAAGAAGATTTAACTTAATAAATGTAAAACTTCGCCCAACCAAAGTATATGTCACCTTAAATTCTTTCACGTTATTTATTTGCCTATTTGAAAACATAGGTAGCTTGTTTTCAAAATATAAATCCTAGTCTATTAAACAATTCACAAGATATTTTCAAATGTAGTTATTACGGTCAAGGCAAGAAAGGTACTTCCAGTGTGAGAAAAATCGATTTTGGGTAACAAAAATGGTCGCAAAGCTTTATTAACAAAGAGTGGAACATATATTAGGGAATTTATACAGCGATCCTCCATTCATAATTTTCAGCACTGATGTCCTGACCTATCCAGAGCACACTAATTATTGTCAAAATCGATAAAATATGTATAATCTTTTATCTTTTTTTTTTCTTCTAATCATTGATTGATTGCCAAAAAAACGAGGTTATCTTGAACTATAGAACGACCGATACATTTTTTGTTATTACTCTGTCTGTTCTACAATTGAATTTATTTCGGATTGCCATAATTGACGCCCCGAACAAAGTTTCAAATTTCGCCAATTCGATTTAAAAAGTTCCGTTGATAAACAAAAAAATATCAAATTTTGTTCGGAGTATATGTGAGTGTTTTCATATTATTTTTTTCGAATTCATTTATTTCAAATGAATATGTATAAATCAAATGCGTGACCTAGTTAAAAACAATGATGTTTTTTTTTTTAATCATGGCAATTCATTATCAAAAAATGTATGTCGGCTTAAATTTAGTCGAATTTTCGGAAATACATTTTTAAAACTGTGGAGCAGATTAAAAATGAAATAAGTTGACACTAAAAAATAAGGAGAGTAATGGTTATTAAAACTGAAGAAGAACAGTAAAATAAAAAGTTGCAAATAGGTATTAGGGGTGCGGAACAGCAAAAGCAAAGGAGCAGAAATAAATATCGATGAGAAACTTTGGTATTAATAAAACCATAAGTTAATGGAACCATGATAAAAAGCTCTGTCCCAATGATTTTTTATGCATAAAGTCTTGGGTATTCTATTTCTCAGCTTCTCGAAAAGTTTTCCTTCCAAAAATATCCCCTTGAAAAAAATCAGTTATCTCTTAGGAATCACACAGAGGGTATGAAATTAACTATTAAAAATAAAAGAATTATTAGTATTCCTATGCACGGTAACCGTTGGGCGAACTGCATTGCAATTTTCAGCATTTGTATCTCTTATCAAGCTCTCAAAGACCTGTAATTTACGATATTCCCAGGTTAAGTGTTTTTGAGAAAATTGAGTTTGAACTTTTAGACTAAAAGTCAAGTTTGAGGCTCAATTACTCAAAAACTTTCTGAGCTGTCAAACTCAATTTTTGCACGGATTTATAGAGAATTTAATGCTCTTTTCAATGGCATGGAATTTATTTTAATTTGCTCAAAATTTAACAAAGATATGGACAATTGCTCAAGATATGTCAAGATTTTGAAAATTTCCAGACCCAAAAATAAGTTTTCCTTTTTATTTTTGTTTCTGTTTGAAATAGCCATTTGGAAATGATGTCAGGGTTGTTTTCCACTAATTTTGACCCGCTCTACCGATTGGTGAAGTCAAAATTGAGCAGAATTGAAAAATAAAAACATCGAGTTTTTTAGAAGGGATACCCCTTTGAATTTTAATTTCAAAATCTTCAAATCTCAATTTCTCGGCAAACGTTGGGCAAATTACATTGAAATTTTTAGCATTTTTAGCTCTTATCAAGCTCTAAAAGACCTGCAATTTACAATATTACCAGGTTTATAGTTTTTGAGTAAATTGAGTTTGAAGTTTTTGACAAAATTCAGACTAAAAGTCGAATTTGAGGCTCAATTACTCAAACACTTTTCGAGCTATCAAACTCAATTTGGCACGAATTTATAGAGAATTTAATGCCCTTTCCAATGGTATATAATTTATTTTAATTTGCTCAAAATTCAACAAAGATATGGGCAATTGCTCAAGACATGTCAGATTTAGAAAATTTTCCATAGTCAAAAATAAGATTTCCTTTTTATTTTGGTGTCTGTTTGAAATGGCTATTTTAAAACGATGTGAGGGTTGTTTTCCACTAATTTTGACCCGCTCTATCGATTGGTAAAGTCAAAATTGAGCAAAACTCGAAAATAAAGAAATTGAGTTTTTCATAAGGTTTCATAATTTTAATTCCAAAATCTTCAAACCTCAATTTCTCGGTGACCATTGGGCAAATTGCATCGAAATTTGAGCGGTAATTTACAATATTCCCAGGTTTATAGTTTTTGAGAAAATTGAGTTTGAGGTTTTTGACAAAATTTAGACTAAAAGTCTACTTTGAGGCTCAATTTCTCAAAAAATTTCTGAGCTATCAGCTCTATTTTACACGGATTTATATAGAATTTGATGCTCTTTTCAATGGTACATAATTTATTTCAATTTGCTCAAAATTTAACAAAGATATGGGCAATTGCTCAAGACATGTCAAGATTTTGAAAATTTCTCAGAGCCAAAAATAAGGTTTCCTTTTTATTTTTGTTTCTGTTCAAAATGGCCATTTCAAAATGATGTCATGGTTGTTTTCCACTAATTTTGACCCGCTCTTTCCATTGGTAAAGTCAAAATTGAGCAAAACTCGAAAATAAAAAAATTGAATTTTTCGTAAGGGTTCCCCCTTTGAATTTTAATTCCAAAATTTTTTAAACCTCAATTCCTCAATGACCAGTCGGCAAATTGCATGGAAATTTTCAGCATTTGTAGCTCTTATCAAGCTCTAAAAGATCTGTTATTCACAATATTCCCAGGTCTATAGTTTTTGAGAAAATTGAGTTTGAAGTTTTTGACAAAATTTAGACTAAAAGTCAACTTTGAGGCTCAATTACTCAAAAAATTCCTAAGCTATCAAATTCAATTTTGCACGGATTTATAGAGAATTTAATGCTCTTTCCAACGGTATATAATTTATTGCAATTTGCTTAAAATTTAATAATGATATGGGCAATTGCTAAGGACATGTCAAGATTTTGAAAATTTTCCAGAGCCAAAAATAAGATTTCCTTATTATTTTTGTTTCTGTTCAAAATGACGATTTGAAAATGATGCCATGGTTGTTTTCCACTAATTTTGACCCGCTCTATCGATTGGTAAAGTCAAAATTGAGCAAAAGTGAAAAAAAAAATAAATTATAAGGGATACCCCTTTGAATTTTAATTGCAAAATCTTCAAACCTCAATTGCATTTGTTAATATTGAGCGGTAAAAATAAACCGATGAGAGTATTCAGTATTCAGTCGGTCAATATCCTAGCACTGTTAAAAAGTCTATTTATACAATATTGCTCTAATCCCTAATTTCCTTCTTGGTTTTCAGTAGAGTTGAAGCAGCTGACAATACAAAAGAAGTTTTCTCACAAATTATATAAAAATTCAGGATCAAAGACAAATTATTTTAAATACAGTAGGCTTAGATCTGAATGTAAAAACTCAACTCGACTCTGTAACCTAGGATATGTAATTGAAAGTTGAAATATTAAAGAATTCTGGAATTTTGTTCAAAGAAAAAGATGTGGAAACGAGCTACTATCCTTGATGTTTTTTAAAAATGGTTATTGGACCTTATCTGCCTGATCTTTCTGCTGAATATTTCCAATCGGTGTTACCATGAAAAGTGTTACTCATCCGGATATTCCATCGTTGGATCATATTTGCGTTTCAGAGTTTTCAATATCCATATCGGCAATTTATTAGGAAATTACTTAAGATCGATATAAACAGGGGCGCTGCATCTATGTTCAAGTCTTCAGGTGCTTTAATGTACATATTTCTAGGAAACCATTAAGAAATGCAGTAGGAACATCAATCTGATGCAGTTTCTAACCATTTTGTAAAGACACTGATATAAGTAGTCTCTGTAGCTAACCTACACACT